TTTCCATGCAAATTCATCAGTTTTACAGCCCTTCATAGCCACAGTCAGGAAACTCCGGCAGAGAACACAAATTGATAAAATGAGTTAATTTTACTATACTCTTTTTTCTTTTTCCTTCTAAAAGCCCTCTCTTTTAGGCAGTGTTCAGGAAACATATTACAGTAAAAGAGAGATAACAAAGGAGTTGGATTTTCTTGCCATAAATTACTTTCCAAGTTAATTTCCTTTAACGATGATTCCAGATTCGCCAGTTTTCATAGCATTGTGTGTCTTACAACTGAGCCTTTGATGGAAAGAAGAACAAGTATTTTCCCATGTTCGCTCCTTTTGTGGCAGTGACATGGACTTTCTTATAGGACCTTTGCCAATGGAATGCAAAACAACATGAAATGGTTCCGGCATAGAACTGTGTGCTATTGTTGGAGTCCCCAGCCCCCAGCCTACAGTGTAAGCTCCAAACTCTCTGGGAGTGTTTTTGGTCATACAATTGAAAGAAAAAGATGTCTTAATTTTTTCATAGTTATTTTACGAGTTAGAAATTGCATGCTGAGTCCTCATAGCCTTTGGAAGGGATTTGTGGCCCATATTCCTTTGTTTTTCCCCTTTGTGTATGCTGGGGAGGGAGCATGCAGATCCCTCGAATGCAAGCCTCTCACGGGCAGAAGTTTTCGTGTCCAGTCCACTGCTTTTAAGTTCCTGAATCACTGCCTAAGGTACCAAGGGGTCTCTTTAAATACGCATTGTGTCCCATGAAATGCAGCCTGTGTGTCTTTAACTGTAGGCTGGACACATGGGTAGACATTTTGATAATGCTTCTGGCCAATTCCCATCCAACAAGCCATAATCTCGGCACCATCATCTTCCAGGCACAGGAGCCTGGAAATTTGGATAGAATTTTTTTCCCATAGTCCTCTCTTTCCAGCAATACAACCCTGAGCAAATTGTCTCTGGTGGATGGCAGAAGTTCAATAACCACAGCCCTCTCCAACTGCTAATGTGTACAGAAGAGCAGGTCATCAAGAGGGTTGGCTACTGAAGTAACCCCTTTCTTCCAATAGCCCACATTACTATAATGATGCCTTAATAGCAAACCATTTATTAAGAAATGACACAGAGTACATTCTACTCGTGACAGGAAAGAGGGGGAAGGGAAGATGCATGACTTAGAAATAACATCTGAAGGCACAATCTCCAAAGTTAACCTTTTGAGAAAAACTCCTTGGTGAACAAGATGCTTAGGCTAGAGTATTTGTAGTATTGCTTAAGAAACAGGGACCTCTTCCTCTATGCTAATGCATATTTATAGAACATACTTTCATTTTTGCTCCAAGTTGAGGGAGGTAAATGGGGATGATAACTATGTTCTTAATTCAGAGTGTATGTATTGATCTTTAACTGTCTACACAAGGGGGTGGGGTGAGCTGTTTAGAGCCACAGAGGCAGTTCTGGGATATGGATGACTTAAGGTCAGGGGGTCTGATCTGTCTTAATGACTTGGGGAAGTTTTTCCCTCTCTTTGTGCCTCAGATCCTTCCTAGTGGCACTGTGGGATTAAGTAGAAGGATAGGCTTAAGGATCTTAGCCTAGCTGCTGGCCCATGAAAACCTGCATAAGAGTATGTGATGATGATGATGGTGGTGATGGTGGTGGTATCCCTGGGGGCCAATTTTGAATCTTTATCATAATTATTGTGATAAATGGCTAGAGTAGTTCCTAGATATATGGTCTCTGGAAGTCTCCAAAAGCCCACCCACAGTCTCCTTCTGGTGTTCTGTCTTCATTGCTTATCAAAGCAGTCTCTGCCTGTTCTCCAGATGGAAGGCTCTGAGGATGCTGTGCTTGTTATAGTAACCTTGTGACAAGAAGCCTGCACTTAGGTGTGAGGTCCTCTCCTTGCCTGTCACAAGGTGACCTGACGTACAGTATGGGCTGTATGCATGGATATATATGATGGGAACATGTGTGCTCAAGGACCTCGTATGGAAGGCACAGTGTCGGTCTCTGCATTATTAGGATTATTTAACCCAGGTTGAGAAGCTTATTCTTATTTAAGTTCAGGAATATTTTAAAATTTTAGATGTGAATGTTTGCCATTCTCTGAAATCACTCACCATGAGTCCATTGAGCACTTTGGACCAGGCTATCTGGGGGCCTTCGCTGAATCTCCACTACTGCAAACTATCTGGGTCACAGGAGGTTAATACAGGCCATGCTAAGAAACATGTGGGCTGAGTTATTTTTTAAATCTGTGTAGCAATAGGGATATATATATATATATCTCCCTTCCTTCACATATTCTGGCTCCTTTGTTATTGTTAAAAGATAACAGAGGAAAAAGACATTTTCCTGTGATGATCACACAGTACATAAAGTGTTCAATGCAGATGCCAATGTCCACCTGTGTGTGTGTGTGTGTGTGTGTGTGTGTGTGTGTGTGTGTGTGTGTGTGTGTGTGTGTGTATGCCTCAGAGTTCCCCCACTCAGTCTAGGTCAGGCCCAGCCACTTATCCTTACTCTGCTTAACATCCAGCTGCAGAAGGATCTTACCTTTTCCCCCAAGCTCAGAGTTGAGGAAGCTTCCCCACCAAGCCAAGGCCTCAACTCCTCTCTGAAATTTGTTAAGACAATCTAAATTCACACATTTGACACTGGCGGGCCTTTTCATTCTCTCTAGTTACCAAGACATGACTGTAGGCTCCAGGAGGCACAAGGCCTTAAGAGCACTTGTCATATTATTACGTGTCAGGCAGCATAATGGTCCATTTCATACATAAAATATTGTATAATAAAATATGAAATTATGCAAATAAATTGAATACAAAAGCAAATTATAGAATAACTAGCAGCATTATTGAGTGGAAATCTGTTTACACTACTGTCAAGATGAGCTAAAGGCCACCCTTTTATTAAAGCCTGTTACTGAGACAGGTGTTTGGTTTTCAGTTTCCCATATCTTAGTAAAGAATTGTTTTTACACAACAGCTATGTTGAGATTTAGTCATTGCTGTTAGTGAACTCAAGTTACATCTTTAGAAATCACTGTATTCCTTCATGTCTTCTGATTCCATAGTTACTTAAGGTACTATACAATTCATCCTGCCTCTCAAGCAACTATCCTAAGAGGTGCTCATTTTTGCCACAGTGAACTGCCAGCATATCACTAATACCTGGCTCCTCCTGGCCATCCTTTGATGCCATCCATCTGGTTTTACTAATTCAATCCTTCAACTACCCCTTTTCTCCCTACTTGCTCTCATGAGTGAGAGATATTTCTAGATTATAAGTTCAAAACTGATGACATCCCCATAAGCTGCTGGCCCTTCTTTGTCTGATTAATAAAACTCAGTACAGCCACCTGCACACATGACCAGTGTTTATTGATTGCCTCTGGCTGCCAGGGATGATGCTTGGACAGTGGCAATCTAACTGCAATTGTTTCTCTTCCCAGGGATGGCAAGTGTATCAATGGTTCACAAGCTTTGATGTCCCACACTCAAATCTGTACTTCCTAAAGAAAAATCCCAGATCCTTCAGGACCTAACCTTAGCCATCCATTGTGACTCTACTTTAGGCATGCCTTTTTCACTCTGTGTCCTATGACACAGTCAGCCAGTCAGCATTTTCTGTTATCTTTAGGCTATTCACTCTTCCCAGAATTCCTCCTTTCCTCCCAGTTGCCTGTGCCCTGCTGTCCTTTCAGCATCCTCTGCATGTACAATTTCTCAGACCATTTTACTCCCTTGAGCCTCTTCTTCTGAAGCTGGGTTAGACACCCACTTCTGACATCAGTTTCAGAATGACTATCAAAAGGCTTCCTAGCTATCTCTACCTTAATCTGCCAGGTTCCTCTAAAGTGTGTTCATGGGTGATAACCATGTCTCTGATCTACCTGTCTTCTCCCAGCAGTTATTGGTAATAACAGTGCTTCATAATCATTTCTTGAGTAAGATCTGGGCTCATGGTATTCCTGGTTATCTTTTCTTCTGATAGATATTGACATATTGAATGTTATCTGTATTGATGGACTTAATGTGTACAACATGTATTAGTACAAGCATCTACTATACTGCTTTTACATAACATTTCAAAAAGACTTCTTGAACTTATAGTCTCACCATGGAATTTACAGTTTTCAAACAAGATTTGAAGATGTGATAAATTCATTAAAAAAAATACTTATTAAGCTACTGCCAGCAAGGCATCTCTAGAACCGTAAAGACAGAAGATATAGGTAATCATATCTCAGAAACGACCCACTATAAAGATAATGGGTCAGTGCAGTTGAATCAGAAGTTGGCAATATCTTCTATAAACTGTGGGTAGCAAATACTTTGGCTTCATAGGCCATGCAATCCCATTGTAGTGGTGGTTCTTGTTATGATGGCAGGATACAGTGAGGGTGTATGCTGTGAATCCTTCTAGGAAAAAACCATAACTCATACACACACACCAAAAAAAAGACCCCCAAACAAATAAAAAGAGAGAAAACAGACCTCAAGGTACAGATGTGTGCAGGGAGTTCATGTGCCACAAAGCAGTGAGAATGCACACATTTCACATTGCAGGAGATGGGGAATGGGGACCTACATGGATGGAGTCATTCTCATTAAAACTCAGAACAGAAATCCAAACTACAGATAAGAAGAAGCTGTTGGGATCAAAGTGAGAAAACCTAGGGGAAATTTGAGGCAGTCATTTAAAAAAAATTTAAGACTAAAATATGAGAGGTATTTTCATTTAAACCACCCAGGAATGCCATAAGCTTGATGACAGTTTACTGTTACAAAAAAGATAAAAGGCACATTAGGAAGAATACGCCTTTGTGGTATAGACTGTTTTTATTGTCACTGTTCCTTTGAAGTCACATTTTATTAGTGATTATTCTGGATAAGCTTTGCAGATGAATGCAAACAGAAAATGTGTTCCATGCCACACTAACGTAGATTCTTGTCAATCTTGAATTCACAGGACTTAACTTATGGTTTGTTCTCCTCTTATAGCACCAATAGCTGCAGGAACCGGACCCAATTTTTCTCTCTCTGATTTGGAAAGTTCTTCATACTACAGCATGAGTCCAGGAGCAATGAGGAGGTCTCTACCCAGCACATCCTCTACCAGGTAAATGGGCCGGTAGTCTCTAAAGAGGCTAAAACACAGAAAGGTGCATCTTGACTTTCAATTCTGAGCATGCTGAACATTTAACAATATGTCTATAACAATAGAGTGTACCAAAGTAGTGGGTACCCCAATAGGCTGTCTTATTAGGGAGCCAAAGTAAATGTACATGAGACAAATATCAAGTGATATATATGCACACAGGTGCACGCGCGCACACACACACACACACACACACACACACACACACACACACTCCAGTAAGAAAAATAATTATTTCAGTTGTATGTCGTGAAATAAGCATGATGTGAATAGACTTTGTCCAAAAGGGTGAGTTGTTCCACTCTGAATGCTGGGCTGGTTAGCTTTAAGGTGAGGCAGGGAAGTCACGTTATCTGGATGATGGAGAACATGAACAAAGACATGGACAAAAGCAGTTATGAGTGTAGCAACACATTCTCTGGGAAAGCTGGAGGGGGGAAGAGTTGACTGGGGGAAAAGAGATGAGTACTCTGGCTAGATTGGCATATGGTGGGAGCTAATAACACCAGCCTAAGCACCCTGGCCACAACCTTCTTAGCCTGCTGGGCCCAATAGGTCCCCAAATCTACTCTGTTGACGTTTCCCAAAGATATAACTGATTTCATACCCTGGCATGAGGTTATAAAAGAAATGCAGGTCAGATAGCAGGATGGGGCCATACTTTGGACCCAGGTGGTCCGGCAGGCTTTAAAAAGCTAAAGTTGGAAAGCACAACTTACTGTGAGTGCCAGGCTTCCTGATCCCCTTGATTGGCTATCAGAGCCAACATCTGGAGAAGCACTTTTCAAGACCCTGCTGTCTCTAGATAACCTGTACCACGGGTAGGGGATTAGGCATCAGAGCCATGGTGTTCCTTTACAGATTGGCTTTAGCACTGGACTGTGACAACAAAGAAAGGAGCAGAGCAGGATTGCCAGGCATGTTTGTGTACTTTGTGGGGGAAAAAATTATCAAATGTGATTTCTGTTAAAGCAAGTGCAGACATTTATGATTTAAAATAATGCCCAGAGTGTGGACATTTTCCCTGGTGTGGGAGTCAACCTTACCTTTATGAACAGTATCTTAAACATCAACTTGAAGATGTTGTTTCTAACACTGTATTAGACCTTCATCTTTGGCGTTGTTTAAATGTTCTCCTTAGTTCATTACCATTTCACCTCCACAAGAAAACAAAAGTCTCAAATCCCAAAAGCATTTATAGCAGACAAGGGGGGGGGTCGTGAATACATTTGGATGTTAATACACTTGGAGGATTTTGAAAATTTGTTGGCAGAAGAGACAGTGCACTCAACAATAAAAGCTTTGTAAATACTTATGGGCAGTGCTTAATTTAAAAGTGCATGGGTGGCTTGTTTTCATATGTGAGCCACGGTCCCATGTTCCTCTGTAGCAATCTCCCTTACCCCCTGTCCTTCCACGCACTCCAAGCTCTGTTCTATGATTTTATGTTGTGACCTGTGGATGAAAGGCTGGTAGATGTCATTCGAGAAGCTAATTCTCCTATTCTGCAAGTGACTAGTCCCCAAAAGGAGTCAGTATAAATATCAGTAGTTAATAACTCAGTAATGTTTGGCTTTCTCTCGTTGGTCTCTTCCTGGGATGATTTTATTTAGTTATTTGTTATTGGTGTGTGTGGGTGAATGAGGAAAGAGAGAATACAAGCAGGTGCGAGCTGGCAGGGATGTAAAATGGAAGTCACAGCACAACTTTCGGGAGCCAGTTCCTCCTTTCACCTTTGCACGGGTTTCCCAGGGGGATCTCAAGTTATCAGGCTTACCCAGCTAGTGGAAGCATCTCACTACCCACCCCAAGGTGCTTAAGAAAAAGAAGTCCTTCAGTATATAGACTTAACAGAATTATCTCTTACATGTTAGAAAATATGCCTTGATGAATGTCCCAGATTCCCATTCAAAAAAAAAAAAAAACAACTTTGAGTTGTCTCCAGAAGACTGTTTTGCCATCACAGCATTGGAGCCACCAGAGCACAGAGTGATTAAACACTTTACCAGGTCACCATTCAAATCCAGGCCTTCTGTAATTTGCGAACCAGTTATTTACACTGAATTGTCTTAGCAGCACTGATGGATCCAGGAACCATAGAACATGGGATCCTAGCAAAGCAGTATCTTGAATCTCCACCTTAACCTGGTCCGTGTGGCCACGGTCTGAATATTTTTTTATATTAGTGGCATAAGCCTGTTCTTCCTCCCAGTTTGGTTCTATGTCCCTTGAATGACAGTGTCTAACTTTTCAAACTCATAAGCAAACGATAAGCAAGTAAAAATACCTGGTACTGTGGGCACAAAAGCAAATCAGAGGAGCTTTGCACACTGACAAATAAAAATGTTCAGACTGGTTTCTGTGAACACTCAGTAAGGAGAATGGTTTTACCTTGTGGGCACAAAACAAGGTAGGTCTCACGTAGTAGGAAGCAAGCAACAGAATTCTTGTTTTAGACAGTCAGGATCAAGAGACAAAATCAAGGGCTGGCTCATTTATAAAAGTTAAGAAGTAAACAAAGTCATACTCTTTGTTTCCCATATGCTTTATATTGCTCCAGGATGAGCATCTCCAAAATCATAGAAAAGTTGGGTAAAAAGAAGAGAACAAGGGCCCTTGCCTATTCTTCATAGCACTGCCAACTCTCCTCCCTCCTGGATCCTGTTCTCCTCCTATCCACACTTCCATCTTGCAGATGCTGAGCCCGTGTCCATCCTGAGCATCCTCATATGCAAGTTCAGGTGTTAACCATGACCATACAGTGTCCCCACCTGTGCAGTTCATGCCTGAATTTTATTAGAGTACTCCCAAGAAAAACTGAAGCTTTGGAACTCAGAAAAAAATATTAACAATGGAAGAGCACTCTGGGATTGACCTCTGGGGCTGGATCTCATTGGACATAGATGCTCAAATGATCCCTTGTCACATATGCTGGTGAAGCATTTGAGCACTTAAAATACTCGACACTGCAGTAGACACTAAAGATCAAAATATAATACTGATTTTAAAAGTGGAGAATTCTTGGGTTGGCAGCCAAGATGAGGTGGAACTTTCTGATGATATCATCTGTACTTCCGGTTTTTAAGACCACAAAGTTCTGCCAGTCACTTTCTCTAAAAGTGTTGGGGGTCGAATCCAGGGCTAGGTAAGTGGTGGCATCCTGATACACATGTAAGGCTAGGAAAGGAATCTAGGGAAGGATGGTTAGGAGACCAGACGATGCAGAAATCTCTCAGAAAGTCACTCTGCTATTCCCAGAGTAATGTCAGCTTGCCCCTGTGCCCTCTGAGTACAGCTAGAGCATCTATACTTGGATATCACAAATGCCATTGTAAAACATGTAGTCAGTTGTGTAGGATTCAGATTATTCCTGTTGGGTCTCCAGATACATAAGACTTGGTGTAGTAATATAAGAATCATGGGATATCAAGACTGCACAATTCCCCTGAAAAAAAAGTTACTTCCCAACTCTTAGTCTTGCCAAAACATGCAAGTCTGGTTTTTGATTGACTGGAGTATACCAGGGGATTTCACTGAACTTACAGTCTTCTAAGTTACAAGATGATTTCAAGTGGCCCGACGTTTTAAAATACAAGTGTTATTGAGTGTAGAGGAAGAAGCTAGAATCCATATGGAAAGAAGGACACTACTTATTAGATCAGGAACCCTGACCAAGAGATTTGTTTTAAATTTGGCCCTTAGCTTCCTGCTTGCAAGGCAAGAAGGAGAACTAATTGGTTAAATCATTTGTATTTCCACTAAAAGAAACAATAGAATTGCATTTAGAGACACTAGAGTTTTCTGCTTTTTATATGTTGGAATTGTTTTGTGTGTGTGTGTGTGTGTGTGTGTGTGTGTGTGTGTGTGTGTGTGTGTGCAATATATATATATATATATATATATATATATACATATATATATATATATATATATAATTGCAAATAAAGGACATGCCTTAGCTACATTTTACATAAAACAGGAAAGGTTTTCAAGTGGTTACTTTTCACCAAAGTTCAAGAAAAAGTTCAAGAAAAAGGAAGGCTAGGCAGTTCCAGAGCTGCCCTTAGGTCCTAGATTATCATGGTACAATGAGGTGGCTTCCCTGTAATCTGCTCTACATGAGAATAGAACTTAAAACATTGGACAAACCACATGAATGATTTGAATTTCTTACTTAAATTGTGCCCTGTGCATATTCAAATTCAGATTGTGGCAGTAACATTATCTTCCCATATCCAAGTAATGACTCCTTTTTTCCTGCTGCCTTCCCAAGTCCATTTTCTGCACCCACCAGCCACTTTTCCACAGTGCAACTCCCATGTCACACCCATGTAGAGGGCTTCAGAAGTCTTTGCTGCTTGTAGGACAAAGTCCAGACTGACAACATCTTGCCTGGCCTCCATGGTCTTCTTCTGTTGGTCTCTCCACTGGTTTCAGCATCCCTGCAGCTGTTTTCTGTGTATCACACCTGGCTTGTGCCACTGCTGCCAGGCATCTGCTTTTGGGACGATGCTCAGTGTCTGGTGACCTTAGCTCAGCAGTGAGGGTGGATGCTGCCCTGTCACTCTAGATTCTGCTGTTACCCCAGGGGCCAGACATAACCTCTTACATTTTGAGGCATGAAAGTGTCATGGGGCAAAGGAAAGAAACAATGCCAACTTATGAAGCTTGAGACAAGAGCAGTTTGCCAAAAAATACAGAGGGTTTTAATATTTTTTAAATCATAATAGTGCCTGAGTTGTTAGTACCAGCCTACCCTAGCCATTTCCTTTTCTGTTGCCATCTCGTTAGCCCTTACAGACAGCTCAGGAGCCCCTCTGCTATGAAAAGTCCTTCTCAAGCTCCAGGTGTAAGTACCAGCGTCCCTCATCTGTAGCCTGCGCTTGACCTCTGTTTCTCTTGGGCCTCTCCATCTCTGTTCATGGAGAGCCATGTCTGACTCACCAACCACACTTTTCTACACTTGAGTGCTGCCCCTGGCATGGAGAAGCTACACAGCCAGTGCCTGATGAGTGAAACCCAGGGAAAGTTCTGCATCCTGACATGTGGGCAGGAGATTTCCCAGCAATCACTGTCCAGAGCGGGGCATCTGCCCATGCAGCAGTGTGTTGCTCCAACTCAGAGTCTGGTCAGCCGAAGCAGGAATAAGCAGCAGGTGACATTTCACCATCTTCTAACCCTCCAGCTTCATAGCGGGAAGGCTCTTTCTTAAGTAGTTCCCTGGGCTGGAAGGAAAGAGATAATGTTGAGGAAGTTGCTTGGTCACACCTCTGTGTAAACGGAGTCTGTATTCACACAAATGAGATAGTGTTCATCTCTGTGTGGAAGGACATGAAAGTCCACAGACCTCTGTATGTCTATGCCCTTCCTTGTCACACAGAAAAGCACTCCTCCCTACTATTTTTAGCCATTCTGTTTGGCATTTTATCTCGAGTGCCTAAAGGAGTATCTGCACTGCACAAATGTGTAGTAAATATCTCCCTTTTAATGAACAAATCCAAGTGAAAGATGGAAAATGCTCCCCCCCCCCACACCCAAGCAATCAAAGCATTCCTAGAAGGATAATGAGCCCTGCTTTTTATTTACATACTTTTAAACTTTTGGGGGCTTCTGCATGGATTTGAGTAAGTTTCTAGGGCATGCTGCTAATGACTAGCCCTGAGCCACATCTGTGGAGATAAGCTACTCGGGCTTCTAAGTGGAAGCCAGCCACCAGCTCTGTAATGAAAACAAGGCACCGAACGGAGATGGTGACAACAACGTGATCAGTAGAGACGAAACCAGCGTTTGGACACATAGGCCAAGATTGTGTACCACATCCTGCAGCTTGCCCAACTCCACAAGAGCCTGCAGAGGGTCCTAGAGCTGCACACTTTTCCACGAAGCATCCAGCAGAAAGGTGACTTAGAATGCTTTTAAACATGCAATTCTTTTCTTTTTTTTCTTTCAGCTCTACAAAGCGCCTCAAGTCTGTGGAGGATGAAATGGACAGTCCTGGCGAAGAACCATTTTACACAGGCCAAGGGCGCTCCCCAGGGAGTGGCAGTCAGTCCAGTGGATGGCACGAAGTCGAGCCAGGTGAGCAGGGGAGAGTCACGAAAGTGACGGAAGCAGCACGTGCACGTGGTTGCGCTGTCACAATCGTGGTAGGGTGGCCTAGAGCAGCAGATGGCACTGAGGTGGAAGGCAGATGAGAGTGTGCTGTCGCGCTCAGGGCTGTCACCTGCACTTGGAGCCCACATATATTTTCATTGTGCCTTGATTGTTTGTTGAGCTGAACCTCACTATGCTGCCCACAATGGACTCAAGTTCCAGGCTCGAGTGTTTCTCCTTCCTCACCTTTTTGAGAAGCCAGGGTGGTGGCTTTCTTTTGCTTTTATATAAACAAACCATTTTGTTTTGTTTTGTAAGTATACTCTAGTATTTATAAGGAAAGTGATCAGTTCTCCCACTGTATGGATGGCAGGGTAAAGCAGAACAAAGTCTCTTGTGCTGCAGATTACATTTGGATTTTTATAATATAAGAACATTTGGGATTTTGTTTGTTTGTTTGTTTTCCTTTTCTAGTTGCTGGCTGTCATCATGACTGCTTAAACAGCACAGCCACATTTATGTCTGTCTGTACTAGCCTGCATACATTCCTGTTGGTCTGTAGAGTCTCAGAGAAATACTGGTATCAAGGACTTCTGAGGACCTTACTGCCTGCCCTTCACGTGGCTGAGGGGAATGGGCTCAGATGCCTTCGTCAATGTCGATACAAGTCAGGTGGGAAAGAGGATAGAGAGGTTTGAGAATCATCTAAAGTATGGCCTCCACTTCAGTGTCGGAGCTGTGTGGTGGTAGCCAGACTGCATGACCATCCCGTCAAACACATCCTACCCATAGTAATAGCTGTTTTAAGGCTCTGGGGTATAAGTAAGGTGATCTGTATTGTCCTCTTAAGAGTTATACCCAGCATGGAGTGATGCAGAGGGAAAAAAAAATAAAGCGGAACAAATTCTCTGGCCACCCCCCCACACACACCCCCACTTTGGTTTCAAAGTAACTGCCTGCAAGAACAGACGGGCACCAAGAAAATCTTGGAACTAGCCCCTCATCTTCAGAGCTTACACCTCCCTCTCCTCCCCAACAGCGTTTCAATATACAAACTCTGTGGCTATAGATGGCTGTATATGACTGCAGAGGAGCCACAGAAGGGAGTGTTTAGGGTGATGGAACCATCTGGGTCTTGATTATAGGACTTTCCATAGTCGATATAATGTCTGGCATTCACAAAAGTTATGTGCCTCCTCCCTGCCTTAGTTGCATTCTATCCTAATTAAAAGCAAGTGACAATAACCCCCCAAGCCCTATTGGCTGTTTTGTTTGTTTGTTTTTGTTTTGTTTATTTGTTATTTTAAATCTTGTTCCTCTATGAAAATGTGAAACTCCTGTGTGATTTCCTTCTGCCCAGTGCCCTCACACAGCTCATTGGTTCACCCATTCAGCAGTCTTCAGTGGAAATTTCTGGATCGAGTGCAATACTGCTTCTGAGAACTCAAGGGTAGATGGGGAGGCAGTGGCTCCTGCTTTCAGGGGATTGAGAGCAGGTGTGGAATCAGAACAAGGCATCTCAGTATTGTGAGGAACACAGGGCTGAGAAGATCCTCCTTTTCCAGTGTCACCCACGCAATGCTCCAGGTGTGGTTGTTTTCTCTACAGGCTGCACCTCACCCTGGTCCACACTTAGATCTGCTAGCCTAAAGCGCCTAAGAAATAAAGCCAGGTCAGGCGAGAACGCAAATACTGACCTCCGTCACCAGTAACCCACACCCTCTGTGTAGCATTGATGAAAAGTTCATGTGTGTTAAAAAGTTAAAAGATGGAAACTTTTTAGAGATCCCTTTTAAGACAGTCCTAACTTTCCTGCTTCAGTGAAAATTAGCATCAAGGATGTAGGTGTGGTACATTTGTGCTGGAGTGCGGTACTCACATGTTCTATGTATACTATAGCTGGTTTATGATCAATAGACAAAGCCCCGTGCAGTGAGCTCGGCCCTCCTAGCCACCTCCTCCTCCTCTTCTCTGCCACACTTGGGGGCTGAGAGGGCAAGGCTTGAACAGAATTCTTCAGCCTGCTAACTCTTTCATTCAAAGTGGTTCCTGTTCATACCTACACATTACAAGTCAAATACTTACAAACCCTAATATCTATGTCCCCACACCCTTTGCGTTCATCAGATACTAAGTTTAATGGTTAAATCCTCTTTATATTGAGAGATTTTTCCTTTCTTCTTAAAGAAATTGTGTTCCTGAAAGGATTGCCCATTGTCTGTCCTTGTTTCATTAAAGAAAAAATGCAATCTCATGGCATATATTTGTGGGGGGCTGGAGAGCACAGTGGATAAATTTATATTTGGCCATATTCAGCATAGAAAGTCATAATTGAAACAGGGCCTGAGGGGACATTAAAACACAACTGAGGGATGTTGCACATGTTCATGGCGACTTTGGTGTCATTAGCTCACACCAGCCACTTTAAATGGATAATTTATGCTGCCAGATGGTCCTTTTTGGGGATTTTCCATCAAGCCCAATCCCCTTTTTGGCACAGAGAACACCTTTATGTTGTTCCCACACTTATCCAGGCCTACATAGCTTTTCCCCAGGGGTACAGTTAATTAAGTGGGAGGCTTTTAGTGGTTCACTCATGTAAATTGCCTTCAGAAATATGTTGGGAATTATGTATATCCAAATGCATGGGCAGCCTGTGCTTGGGATAATTCTCTCAAACAAGTATGAAGGGCACCGAGTTTATGCTTCTGATGTGATACAGGAAGCAAGGCTTTACTCACGCTCCCCTCCAAGAGCTGGGCATCTGGGGTAGACCTCACTGGGTTTCCAGGGCTCCCTAACTACAGAGGCCTGAAGGTGTCCCAGAGAGACTTCCTTGAGCAACAGGAAGATGTTGAAAAAGTAAAACAGTCCAGGCATCCAGTAAACTACACGCATATTTTTCAGATGTCTTCGGTAGTAACCCATTTGTTTATCTAGCACTTTTGGTGCCCAGCTCTCCCTGTCTGTGCCGCAACACGCAGGAGACGATGCCCATCTCAAACACTAGACAGTCTTGGGCTGGCCTTCTCCCAGTGCCACTCAGTTTTGTTGCCCAGTTGTCTCACAGCTTGTTTGGGTTGGGACTGTATCTAGTCATGAAATGTGACATGAGCCCAGTGAAATTCTATCCATCAGAATTCACAGACCATCAATGTCTGTCCAGCCACACAAGTGAGAAGTTGCCAATGAGAAGATAATGCAAATCACCAGGAAGGGAAGCAGCAGGCAAGGACCCATTGGCTGAGGCAAGGCTCTGGCTGCACCTGTGGTTTTCAATGAATGTTCTTTAAAACATGCAGACTCTGGTTTTTGTTTGTTTGTTTGTTCTGAGAGCAGCTTGCTTAAGCCAATACTGAACCTAAGTTGACTCCAAGATATGTTTGCTTCTGTATTTAACCTCTTTAGTGTGATTGTTTATGCTTCATGTTTCAAGGTCTTGTGTTTTAACTTAAGCTAAAAAGTATCATAATAAAAATAGTAAATGACTCACTAGAAAGACCTGGAAATCCCCCATTTTCCTCATCTCAAACTCTTATCATATAATATAGGTTAGGAAAATAGATATTAGCTACTAAATACACATAAAACAGTACATATAAGCAGAGTGTTAACTGCTAATGGTGAAATATTTGTCATGTCATCTATAAATTAAATAATCCGCTTATCATTTAGGGCTTGTTCAAAAGCTATGTCAAAGAGGCTCTTAGTGACCTAAATAGCTGCTGGCCTGTATCCACCATCTCCTCTTTCACAGCCCCTCTTTCCTTACTCATACTCCATCTACTGTTACTCTCTTCTTCCCCTGGAATATGCACTCCAACAGAGTGTGGCTTGGTCCATCTTTTACACAGCTGCATCCCTAAAACCCACAACAGTGTGTAGACCATAATAGGTGTTCAATAAATATTGGCTGAATGAGTGAGTGAAACAGAGAGGTTGGAGCTTTCTTATATACTTGAAAGCAGAATTTGCTGCCAACAATATTCTAAAAACTGGTACTCTCTATATTCTTAACCTGCACGCCTCCAGTCCAATCTAATTACTAGCAAATAGTGGGAAAAAATAATTGCTAAGCCTCAGCCAAGCATCTCATTGATCAGTAGTCAGGCACCAAACTATATTCCAACCACCCTTCTCCTTAACAGGTTTTCCTTTAAATAAACCAGATTTTTTTTAAAGTAATTGAAAAGAATAGTGCTTATTGATAATTAGGGAAGAAAGGAGGAAGCCAAGATGGAGGGGACAGTGGTCAATACCTATGAAGTCACCATGAAATAGGAGACTACACATTGTCACACAGTAAAACTGCTACATTCAATGATATGATACATGGCAATATGGCGATAATGATCCATTTAATGATATTTATATCTCAAAATATCCCAAAGCAAGGAGTTTGAACATCCCTATGACAAAGAATTGGTAACTATTTGAGGTGAAAACACTACACTCTACCTTCGTAAATATGCATAGTTATTCATCAGTAAGATATCTTGTTATATTATTTCAAAGAAAACTCTAAAAGATAATTCATGGTGGGTGAGACCTGTATTAAGAATCTCAATGGTCCTATTTTTATGAGGTATTTTCTATGGCTTGTCTGGTTTTGTGGAGTGTTTCCTGTAGTTTAAACGATCTTGCTGCTTCACTACTGCTGGAGACTTCCACTTTCCCATCTCCACTTTTCTCTTATGCAATCATGTAAGTACCAAGCTTCCTAAGACCACAGGAAGTGTCTCGCCCAGATCTCAGAAGCTGAGAGGGTGTGGGACAGGCCCAACCTATCTGGAAGTCACTTTATTTATTTATTTATTTTTGTTTTTCAAGACAGGGTTCTTTGTGTTGTTTTAGAGTCAGTCCTGGAACTAGAAATGTTATTCTCTCAAGCCTTTCTCCCTATGTTTAGCAGCAATGGTTTAAAAACTATCCCACCCATTTTCACAAGGGTCAGAGAAGACCACATGCCAGGAAACTCCTGACCT